AAAATTTTGCATTTAAAATAATCATTATTAGAACACTTGTTTAAAATCTCATTCAATTGAATTACAAAACATAGTTCATTTTCACTTGAATAGAAACCAGGATCCTCCAAAACATAACTCTTTCTCTGGTGTGTACAATCGAGCCGGTGCCGTCCCGTGTTACTGAAAGAACCTGAAAACAACATAACACAAAACACTGTAAGCACGAAGCTTAGTGAGTTCCCAATATACAACTTACGCATATACGCCTTTCCAGGCCCTGACCTTCCGGTCCACAACACAACGCCTTCCGGCCCATAACGTGTTCGCCTTCCGGCCCATAACATATTGCCTTCCGGCCCATAACATATTGCCTTCCGGCCCATAACATATTGCCTTCCGGCCCATAAACATACACAACACATAATACTTTAACTTACCACATATAGCACATATATCATATACAATCGACCTTTCGATCATATAACATATTGCCTTCGGCCCATATAAACATACATAGCACGCATAGCAATTACCTTTCCATTTATAGCACTTATAACACATATCATATCCGACCTTCCGGTCACACAGTCAAACCCTTCCGGGTACAGTATAGTGAGAAGACTCACCTCGTGGATACTGGAAATTAGCAACTCCTGAAATCACTTGCACTTGATCCGCCGAGCTTCAAGCTCCCTGGATAATGTATTCTCTTATTAATACTTTTATCTTCCAGATAACTGACCCTAAGAAATCACACGCGGTCAACTCTGGTCAACAGTCCACGGTCAACTCGACCGGACTCGGCGAGTACTCTGGCGACTCGGCGAGTCTAGTCGTCCTCCAATCCTCTAAGTTTTCCCTTCTACTCGTCGAGTATCCTCCTTGACCCGACGAGTTACTCCTGGAAGAATCGCGGGGCCACCCCGACTCCACTCGCCGAGTCTGATGAACAACTCGACGAGTCCCAGTTATTCTTCAAGCTACTCGCCGAGTCTGCTCATCTGACTCGGCGAGTCCATGCCATGCAGCCGCGCAAACTGCTTCCTAAGGTCATAACTGCTCCGACCATTCATAGGTCTGGCCTTCCTCGACTGGTCCATTACATAAGGTCTTCATTTAGGTGCTCATGATACACCCCAAGACTTATAATTTACATGTTGACCTAAGGCATAAGGATTTCAATCCAAAACCTTCACCAATTCCCGAAATGCACAGACATGGGATATTCTGGACCTCCAAGGGTCCTAATACAGGGTTACAATCGTTTGGGGAACAAGGGTAACATTCAATCTATCCATAAAAGGGTTCCATAAACCCTAATCCTCAAAATACATCACCATAGCAGAGTATACACGAATTCTTACCTGGATAATGTGTTCTCTGTGTCCCCAATCCTCAGAATGTGACCCCCTTGCTGTTCCTTAGCCAAGCCCTTCTCTTCTTTGCACAACAACTCCTTCAAAATCACCAATGGCCTTTAATCTTGATCTAGATGCACACAATCGATTTAGGGTTCTTCTCAGAAGGCTAAAACGAACAATGAGGCCTATAAGTTCATTATATACGTCCCAAACCTAAACGGCTAGGGTTTTCGCTAAACAGCGCAGACTCGCCGAGTCCCTATCTGACTCGTCGAGTCCAGTCGCGAACCCGCGACCAGGTCTGCGATCCTACTCGGCGAGTCTGGCTCCAACTCGCCGAGTCCCCCCTTAAAACACCCCTAAAATATAATTTTAACAATACTTGAAATTCCGGGCTGTTACAATTCTCCCCCACTAGAATCAGACTTCGCCCTCGAAGTCTTACTCTGAAAATAGTTCCGGATGCTGCTCCCGCATCTCACGTTCCGGCTCCCAGTCATTTCCGATCCCT